CCCTCCCGCCCTTCTCTCTCTCTCTCTCTCTCTCTCTCTCTCTCTCTCTCTCTCTCTCTCTCTCTCTCCCCCCTTATGCCGTGTTGTTGCTGTAACAGGTAGCAGGGCGCATAGCAGGAGGCACTATTTTCCCACCAAGCTTTTGTGTGGGAAACAGGAAAGTACCCCAGATCAAGGAGGCTATGACAAACAGACTCGATCGGCAAAATATTCTTGAAGCTGCAGATGCAAGCCTGCGGCGGCTACAAACGGATTACATAGACTTGTATCAACCCCATTGGTAAGCAATCCTAACTGAACTCAGGACTTCCAATGTGTGTGATGCCCTCTCTCGGAGATGGAAAAGGGACAAAATGGGGAGTAACTGAACTCAGGAGAACTTCCAATGTGTGTGATGCCCTCTCTCGGAGATGGAAAAGGGGCAAAATGGGGAGAAATGAAGGATAAGTGGATAGATGCGTAAGGGGAATATAAGTACGTAAATAAATAAATAAATGACTATATCGGCTGCAGTGCCGCTCCACAATGCTTTTCTCGGCCTTTTGCCGAAGAATGCGAACTTTCCCAGTATTCGCATCAACTTCATATTATCTTGTCCATCCATCGTTCATCGGAAATAAATGACTATTAGCTAAGAAACAAAAATAAAAAGGTGGACTTTGGGACGATAGATACATCGGACCCTCCTTTTTTTTTTTGGCGAGGCCAATTCAATTTCCCTTGCACGCCACCTGTGGCTAAAGGGGTCATCTGTCCCAAAAGTAATGGGTGGGCCCAAATGGTCTCTTGGGCCTAAGGGTCTTACTATGACCACCAAACAAAGGCAGGCCCTAAATTGTCAAACCTAACTTGTTGGCACCCAAAAACAGCAATTTCGTCAAAACGGACCGCAAACTGAAGGCCCTATGGCATTTTTACTTGGGCCTGCATCAGAAAAACACCAGCTTTAGATTATTTTTATATTTTGTTATTTATTTAGTGCTGATGTTTTTCTAACGTGTGTGCTGTTGTCCGTTTCTGGCCAGGTACACGTTTTTGGGCCAGGGCCAGATTCAGGCCCAGAGGCGAGCCTCTAAAAAAACGTTTGGACCTTTTTTTGTTTTCGGACAGATTTTGGACCATTCGGACCTGGACCGACGTTCAGGCCCGATGCATTCGCACAGGCCCTGAATCGGACTAGGTACCGAACAGGCCCAGTCCTGGGCAGGGCCTGGACGTCCGGTAGGGACCCAGGCAGGCCGTTTTAGGCCACGGACTGAACCAAGTCCGAAGCCTGCGATCTGGACCGTGGATCGGATTTCGATCTGCACGGTCCAGAATGAAGGCCGTGGACTCACTGGGTCCGGCCCAGCGCTACTTAAGCTGGGCCAGCGCCCAGTTCTGGACAGAGGACACAAGGAGAAACCCAGCGTTACGCTGGTTCAGGATTCCGCCTGCAGCGCTATTTTGGAGACTGCCGGCTGCGCTATTTTGAGGCTGCCGGCTGCGCTGTTCTTGAGCATCGTGGCACAGCACTGGAGGAGTCCAGCGCCGAGGAGGTTAGCGGAGTTCAGAGAGAGAGAGAGAGAGAGAGAGAGAGAGAAGAGAAGCTTACCTGTCGCGACCTACCAGCGCCATAGCTGGGCTTCCGCAGTACCTGCAGTCAGCACCCAGGTAAGTAGGAACAGAAAGCGCCTAGCTTTCTTCTTCTTCTTCTTCTTCTTCTTCTTCTTCTTCTTCTTCTTCTTCTTCTCTCCTTCCTCTTCTTCTTCTACTCCTCCAGATTCTTCTTCTTCTTCTTCTTCTTCTTCTTCTTCTTCTTCTTCTTTATCAGAGTAGAGATAGAGGCAACTGCAGACATTGTTTGGACACGGCATTCTGCCTTATTGGACTCGACATTCAGATCGGACTTGTACTCTACATTGGGACTGAACGGTGTATGACATTCTTAGATCAGATTTGGGTTGGACTGGGTTACTCCTGTGTCTCTCCCCCCCTCTCTCTCACATGTCTATGGTTCTCTCCCCGTGTGTGTGCGCAGAAGGGCAATCTTTCTGATGTGCTGCCCTTCCGAAGTTCCCCTCTTTCATGTTTGTTTGTCCTCGTGGCCTTTGACTACTAAGTCTTCCGCTGTGCTGTTTTCCCAGCCTATGATGATGATGATGTGAATGCATTGTTGTCGATTTCTCATTGATTTACTCTTTGCATTGTGCACATTGGCATCTTGTGAATGTTGCATCCATGCTGCTGGTTGTTGCCACTTTCATCATTGCTAGATCCTAGGCTTTCGGTGCATTTCACTTCCTGATATGCTACACCTTACCTGTGTACAGTATCTGTGTCGACCCCGAGTGTTTGAACCCGTGACCTGGGTTTTGACAGTTGTTGTTGTCTGTCATAGGTCGGTGTAGGGGTAGGGGTTCAATCTGTAGACCTGTCGGATAGGAGTCCTAGTGAGTTCTAGAAGTCATAGCTGTAGTCTGTCCGAAGGGTCAAGGTCGTAGCTGCTACAGTCCTGAAAGGTCAAGGTCGTAGCTGCTACAGTACCGAAAGGCCAAGTCTACAGACTTCCGGAAGTGGCCTTTCGGAGTAGGCTCACGTTAGACAGAGGCAAGTGGGCAAGTGGTGGAGCCAACCTCAGTGTGTTGGCAGTGCAACTGCAGTGAGGTTGCGGTCCAACCCCATGCGGTCAGCGGTACGGTCCAGTCAGTCCCAGGCCAGTCCAGCAAGTACCATACAGGACTGTGTGCACAATGGGCCGATGGAAAAGGGCCAGACCAGCGAGCTACAGAGATATAAATCAGGAGGCAGCGTCCAGCCATTCATTCATTCCTGCGTAAGCCATGCGGAAGCGCTGCCATAGCGACTTGTGCGAGGTGGTCTGCAGTGAGCCCGAGGACGAAGTGGGCGAGAAGGAGATAGCCATAGCGATAGGGTAGTAGCGGCCATAGCCGCCATAGCTGTAGGTGTGTGTGAGTGTGTGTGCGAGGGTACAGAGTGTTGCGTATGAGATATCCAGGGTGATCCTCTGTACGAACAGCAGTGTTGAGTGAGTGACGACAGAGAGTTGCACAGGCCGAGAGGCGCCATGGCAACAAAGAAACGGAGTTTCTACTTCACTTCTCCTACTGCAGCCACAAGGCTGACCGTTGGCTGACGCGTTCGGAACTGCAGGCCACAACTCCCGCCGTTCTCTCACGTTATCTTAGCAAGGGGAAGACTACGCCGAGCACTCCAGATCCTCGCCATCCTCGCTACATTCCGCCATTGGATCGGCAGCTTCGCCCGCGCCCCGGCTCGTCTTCATAAGGAGGGGGGCGTGTTACATGCTGAGAGCCTACACACGGGCCCCTCACGGGACCCGAGGTTGAAATAGGGCCCCCAGGTGGATATGCCGCCATAGCCAGCGGAAGTGAACTTGTATCTGAACTGAGTGGGTGATCCTGGTACTATATCTCTTTTTTGTTTCCTTTTTTTTTTTTTTTTTCTTTTGCGCTCTGATAACTTTGTGACAATATATATATCGTTTGTTGTCCTCTTCTCTCTCTCTGCCTGCGGTTTACCGGGCAGTTCTGTTTGTGACTACATATTAAATGGGAAAATCATGTTAAACCACCAATACCATTGACCCTTCGCTTGCCGAGCGCCAAAAAAAAAAAAAAAAAAAAAAAAAATTGGCACGGGCGTTCTTTTGATTGGTGCCGGCAGCTAGTTTGATTCGGTAGGCCTAACCCCGTAATTTGCGGCCGCATCCACTCCGTGGCGGAGAAAGTTGGCTGTCAAACATACTGCTGGTTTAAAACACCAAAACAAGGCCCCTCCAACAAAAAAGTACGCCACATGTAAGTGGGCCGTGCATTCTATCTATGTACGGTTCTCGCGGGGATCAGTTTGACTCCTTTGAACAGCAATTTCGTCAAAGCGGACATATTTCATTTTTCGAAAACCTCATAAATTGGCCCGATTTAGGTCGATAATTTAAGCTCCTGAGGGAATAGCATTCTGAAAAACTCCGTACTTCCTGGATGCCGGCTAAGTCCAGATACATCCAGGGGGTACGGCGTTTTCAGAACGTCGTATCCCCTGGACTCCAGTTAAGTCCAGATACATCCAGGGTGTCCGGTGTTGTAAGGACGCCGGACCCTCAAGAGCTTAAAATTTCCACCTAAATCGGGCCAATTTATGAGGTTTCAAATTTCAATTTGGGGTCGGTTTGATAGCCGCGGATGAAACTCTCCCGCAAGTCGTCGTCAATCTCGAAGGTAGAGTAGACTGCGGTGCAAAGATCCGGTCGTCGTGAGAGGGCGTCAGCAAAACGGTTTGACTTCCCGGGAATGTGATCGGGAAAAAAGTCAAACTGGTCGATGAAAGCCATCCAACGGGCAATGGTACTATTAATCGTGTCTTGTGACTTGTAAAATACCAACGGATTGTTATTCGTTACCCATCGGAATGCTTGCCGACCAAGGAGGAAATGCCGCCAACGCTTGAGGGCGTGGACGAAGGCAAGAAGCTCCTTCTTTCGTGCGTCGTCGATCGAATGCACGGGGGACACTTTCTTGCTAAAGTACTCGATCGGGTGCCAGTCCGTGCCATCGTGCTGCTGAAGGACGGCCCCAATGCCATAGCCAGATGCATCGGTGGTGACGCACGTAGCTAGGAGTGGGTCGTAAATGTGTAACACCTCGGCGGACAAAAGTGTCGCTTTGAGTGTTTCAAAAGAATGGCGCGCATCGTCATCGAAGTCAAAAGGCCGCTCCTCGCTTTGAGCTTGCTTAGGTTGGTCGGGATCTTCGAGTAACCCTTGATGAAGCGCTGATAATAACCAGCCAACCGGCCAAGCCGAGGACGGATCGGACGTCCGTCACATTCTTCGGCTCGGGCCACTCCTGGATGGCTTGAATCTTGTCCGCCGATGGACGAATGCCTTTCGGGGATACAAAATGGCCCAAGTATTCAAGCTCTTGGCGGACAAACTCGCATTTGTCGCGGTTGGCTTTGTACCGGGCTGACCGAAGAGTCTCTAGAACACGGCGAAGGTACTCGAGATGCTCCTCGAGAGTTCGGCTATAGACGAGGATGTCGTCTAAGTAGACCAAGACAAATCGGTCCAACATAGCGCGAAACTCGGTGGTCATGGCCGCCTGAAAGGTGGCCGGGGCATTGGTGAGGCCGAAAGGCATAACTACCCACTCAAAATGCCCATATCGCGTCTTAAACGCGGTTTTGTACCGACTTTGCGGGCGTATGGAAATCTGATGATAGCCCGACTTGAGGTCCAACTTTGAAAAATACTTAGCG